AGTCAATCACAACCATAAATGTAAACCTTAACTAAAACTCTTGGAAGAAAACAAGAAGTTCTGATCTTGCTCAGATTTAACATCAAGAGCATGGTAATAATCAAGAGACAGAAGGATTCTTACCATAGGTAATACTTCTGATGTTCAAATACACAGTAAGAAGATGGAAAGATAAGCCATAGACTATAGATTCTATTTTCTTTTTATTTGTTTTATTTTATTTATGTTTTTTTAAGACACGGTCTTATGTTTCTTAGACTGACCTCTAACTGTCCTACCTCCATCTTAGACTGACCTCCATCTGTCCTACCTCCATCTACTAAGTACAGAGATTACAGACCTGTATCACCAATCCTGTGAAAATATATTTTCTTATTTTTATTAGCATATATTAACTGCATAAAATAGGTTTCATTATGACATTTTAAATCATATCAGAATTTTGTCTCCCCTATACTCAAAGAATGTTTTCAAATCCCTTATATATGTTTAATAGGGCTGGAGAGATGGCTCAGCCACTATAGGCTAGGCTCACAACCAAAAATATCTAATAAACAACTTGTCTCCAGGTAGAAAAAGTCTTAAAATGCAGAAAAAAACCACAGGAAAAAAATTCACTAAAAAATGGGCAAAAGATACAAACAAATGCTTCAGCAATGAAGACACAAAGATAAAAATAAGTCTGTGAAAATATGCTAAGCATCATTTACAGGAAGAAGCTCTCTTTGGAAGCTGCAGAGTTGGTGAGGTAAGGCTGGCTAGTAGCTTTCTCTATTTCCCTGATCGCTCTAAGGCTTTCACCCCTATATTTGGCTCCGTGTTTTTATTTATTAAGACCGTTTAGAAATTCGTCTACAATGAAAAAACAAAATGACAAGACAAAACTAAAAAAGGTACCAAGCCACATGGCTAAACATAGATAAAAATTATGTGTTAATTTAAATATAAAACCTAGTCAGTAATAAGCCTGAGCTAATGGCCAAGCAGTTATAATTAATATAAGCTTCTAAAATATTATTTTATAAGCAGGCCACAGGACTGCAGGGGCCTAACAGGACCAGAGAAACCTTCCTATTATAATCATTAGTTACTACCAAAGTACAAATTAAAACCAGAAAATACATACATATGTAGTGGGTAGGTTTTCCAGCTTTGACCTGGAAGTACTACCCCTAGTGAGGCCTCTGGTAACTGCCATGCCTACCTATGACCTGCCCCTGGGGCAGGGCCAAGATGGGAGCCAATAAGATCCGAGATCCAGTTGTGCTGGGCTCTTGGTTCCTCATGGTCCTGGATGATGGGTGGTAGACTGAGCAGAGTTCTTCAGAGAACCCTGCTGGACTACACCTCACCTCACCTCTCCTGGATCCTGTAACCAACCCTTTACTGGCTATAAGTTACCCCAAAATAAGCCTCCTTTTTAACTACATGGAGGTGTCTTACTAATCCCCACAATAATACATATATCAGAATAGTCAATATTAAAACTATTGATAGATGTTACAACATATGGGCAAGGATGTGTAACAACTGACTTTTTTTTTACATTTGTTGTTTAATTTTAGAATTTCAAACATGAGTACTGTTTTACATCATTTCCACCAACCACTCTTCCCCTCCAACTCCTCCCATGCCCTCCTTACTCACTCTCAATTTCATGACCTCATCTTAATTATTGTCACACAACTGAAATTTTTATTCACTATTGTGTGAATATAAAACAGCAATGCTGAAGAACTGGCAGTTTAAAAAGTTAAACTATACATACAACATGGCACACAGTAACTCTACTCCTAAGTATCTACCTTAAAAAGTAAAAGTGTGTTTCCACACAAAGACTTATATACAAACGTTCAGCAATGGTTACTTGCAATAGCCCACAAGTGTGAGTAATCCAGATGTCTATCAACAGATGAATGTAGAAGAAAACTAATATATCTATATCATGCACTACTTAGCAATTAGAAAATGAGTATCGATAGGTGCAACAACCTAGATGAAATTCCAAACAGTTAAGCCAACTGAAAGAAGTCCAAGAATAGAATCTGGGGGGCTGGAGAGATGGCTCAGAGGTTAAGAGCACTGCTTGTTCTTCCAAAGGTCCTGAGTTCAATTCCCAGCAACCACATGGTGGCTCACAACCATCTGTAAAGAGATCTGATGCCCTCTTCTGGCCTACAGGGATATGTGCAGACAGAACACTGTATACATAATAAATAAATAAATCTTAAAAAAAGAATAGAATCTGTTTACATAAAGTTATAGAAATGCAAACTCATTTATAGCAACAGAAAGTAAGTAAATAGTTACCAAAGGATGGAATGAAAACAATGAACGAGGGCTAGATTACAAAACAATGTGAGAAAAATTTAGGGATTGTCAATGTTGGTTACTGTAAGTATAGTGGTGGTGGTGGTGTCAGGCATGTGGGCATACACACATATATGTCAACATATACCAAAGTATACATTCCAAGTATGTATAGCTTATAATGTCATTGTGTGTGTGTGTGTGTGTGTGTGTGTGTACACACCTCTAAAAAGACAAAATAACCTTGTCTGTTTTTTAAAAAGTTTAGTCTTATTCACTCATGAAAGTTTTAGACAGGTGTTAGAAAAAAGGAAGAAGACATACTCCAATGAAGATCACACTTAAGATTGTATTAATGAGAACATTAAAAACACTGGAAGAAGGCTTGGTTTGCTCCACTTTAAGGAGTTTGATAAAAGATGCTTCAGTGTCCTACTTTCCTATTCAGTGAGCAAGAACTTCTTGGCCTCATCTACATTTTCAGTGGAAGAGAAGCCAAAAAGTTCTGCACTGTTCTTTTCCTTATTTGTTCAACAAATCATCAACAGCAAAGTCAGCAGCAAAGTGAACAACCCTGAAAGGAATAGTTATTAACTAAGTGTTCCAAGGCAATAGACAGCCCTTAGCAGTAACAAGATGATGTGGTATTAAGTTTCAGTTATGATCACTTTTGCTAAACCAGGCTCCCTTTCTAGAGTCAGAAGTATAAAAACTAGAGTCAAGAGACTTGCACGCGCTTTTAACAGCTTCTCCTAACCATGGGGCATACAACTGAAGAGAGACTTTAAAATGTAACGACCATTAGCCTTACAGCCAATGACATTACACATGGTGGGGGCTGCTGCTTTCTAACACTAACACAACAAAATTAGATGCCTTGGTGGAAAAGATGTGAAAGAAGCCAACTCAAAATCATAAAATCACCTATATACTTCCCTCATACTGAGATGAGAAAAAGAATTAACTTTTAGAAATGGAGACATAGTTATGTACTTTCATTGGTAGCATTTTAATAGTTTCATATGGAATTATTATCAGTGTTCCTAAAGTATACTCAATTTCAAAACTTCACTTGTAAGTATGAATCAATTAAATAAATAACAACAATGTACAAGGCTTGGAGGAAATTTCACCAATGTATCTTACAATAGAGCTGGAAGCAATTGATTTTAGAATAAGTTTATAAAATAAAAAAGTATGAGTTCTGATTTCCTTAGTTAAAATACCCAATACAATATCTGAATAATGTAAGCACCTCGTAACAATGGATAATAACAACAGGGAGAATAAAATATAAGGAAGAAAAGGAATAAAATACATTATTATTCCTTATTCTTTGTATGAAAAGATATACTGAATTCAACCCTACAAATATGTTTGCTGAGACCGAGTCTCACATAGCTCAGGCTAGTCTGGAACTTGCTGTGTAGCTGAAGATGACTCTGAAATACTGATCCTCCTGCCTCAACTCTCCCCACTGCTGGGTTACCAGGCCTAGTTTATGCAATGCTTCTGAAGTTGCATGGCTCTGTGTATGCTAAGCAAGTATTCTACCAATGAGCCATAGCCCAGCCCTCCACAAGCTTCATATTCAGTATCTATAATGTTCTTTGTCACTATGAAAACCACTCTAGAAGAACAAAAAGGAGAAAAAGATAAAAGAAAGTTCTCATTCACTAAGGGATAACAGAGCCCTCTTTTTTACTTCAAATAGCTCTGAGACCTTAAATATTCAAAGTCAAAGTAACTCATTATGTTATATACACGTGTTGAAAGCCAAATTATAGGCCACTTAAGAAAGTCAGCAATTCTATAAGAAAATCAAGGATTATGTAGTAGTATCGTTCGCATTATAAAGAAAAACATTTTAATGCAAATTTCCTTGTCTGTTACATTTACTAATACTTTTAGAATATACATACAACCCCCTCCTATCCAAATCACACTATTAAAAAAATGAATATTGGGCTGGGTGGTGGTGGTGGTGGTGGCCGCCGCCGCACACCTTTAATCCCAGCACTTGAGAAGCAGAGCCAAGCAGATCTCTGTGAGTTCGAGGCCAGCCTGGTCTACAGAGTGAGATCCAGGACAGGCACTAAAACTACACAGAGAAACCCTGTCTCGAAAACACTCCCTCTTAAAAAAATATATATATATATATATATATATATATATTTTGGAGCTGGGTGGTAGTGGCACACACTTTTAATTATAGCACTCGGGAGGCAGAGGCAGGTGGATCTTGAGTTTGAGGCCAGCCTGGTCTACAAAATGAGTTCCAGGACAGCCAGGGCTACTCAGAGAAACCCTGTCAAAAATAAGAGAGAGAGAGAGAATATTGGCCACTGAAAAAAATTACTTAAAAGAAAAAGTCATTGATAACAGACCATAACACCAAAAAATTGTTTCTCACTTGAATTGTTGTTAGTTAAGTGCTTGGTTTCCAGAATGACAGTTTAATATAGGTAAATAAACTCACATGTATTTCTACTCTTTTTGTAAAATTCCTGTGATGTTATAAACCTATCTTACATAAAAGAATTCCCTACTCCAAGAAGCTAACCAACTTTATGTAGTAAAAACACAAGAAAAATAGAAAGGAGTCTGAGTAAGCAGCATATATTCTTTTTGAAAGTTTCCTGTAAATACTGAAATTAAATTCCTAATATCCAAGGTTCTAAGTGTCTTACCATTCACAGCTTTTTCAATCAACTCTTCGCAAGCATCAAAGTCACCCTTCAACACCAATTTGTCGTGCATGTCTGTCAACATCGGGTGCTCCAGGGCGATCTTGGTTTTCTTCTGCAGGGACTCAAAAGCCTCTGTATAGTTGTGCTGTCTGAAGTGTTTCAGGCAAAGGCGAATGGCTTCTTGTTCGCGGTACTACTAGAACACAAGAAAAGTAGGGGGGGAAAGAGAGATGCTTAGCTGCCACTGTAGGAACAATAACAATAAAAACAATTAAGTTGAGCATCTACTATTTACCAAGCACCATATTTAATCCCGTTCATTAGTTACCATTATTTTCACCTGTCAAGTAATAAAACTGGAGCTTAATGCTACTGTACCAATTTGCCCAAGATTATAAGTATGTTACCCAAGGAGATCAAACCAGACACAATTCAAAAGCCTAAATGTCGGGGGCGGGGGAGGGCAAAAGGCAGCATATTCTATATTAAAAACCCCTTAAGGCTATAAATTTTGCAATTCTTAGGACATTAACTAATAACATCACAATACAGGTGCTAAGAGAAAGAGCATGACTTTGAAAGTGAGCACTCAATTTACAAACCATTTTCTTTAACAGGGTGAATGGCAGAAATAAATACAAGCTCAGAAGAATAATTGAAAAGCAAACAAGTTAAAAATACGTGCTGGAATTACCTCAAATTTTCTAAGTGTATTGCTTTACAATAAAAATAAAATAAAATTATATAGAAACACTGCATGACAATTAAAAAAATGATTTCCCTATAAACATTACCCTGGAATAAGACAGGAAAATAAGACCCCAAAAGACTTGAAAAACAGCCAGTTTATAGTTACCTCACTTCTTAACTAATAAAGGGTTATCAAATCCCTATTGCTTATACAATATAATTATCAATATGTAACCTCATTAAATAACCAGAATGATTCATATTCCCACTAACTTTATCCCCCGCCTTGGGCCTTAAAAATAGATTTATTATTAATTATCTATATAACATCAATTTTATTAAAGAGCGACATTTGGCTAGCCTGTTGACTTTAGGCATTTCAATCATGTTCAAATATTAACTTTCTATCAGATTGTAAAAATAACCCAGTAAAAATTGTATTCAAAATATTCATATCACTTTATAATAAAAAGTAAAACTGAGGGCTAAGCAAATAGAATAAAGTAACAGCAAACTGTAGAGCCCTAATGCCTGAGTCCAACATCGGGCTCAAGCACTTTACAACTGTGGGAGCCTCTCTGCCCCATTTCCTTATCTATGAAATAGCAAAGATTGGCAATTCCATCTCCTAAAATGGTAATGATTTGAATGAGTTAGGAGTGTTGAGCAGCTGACCACTACACTGTTTTAAAATGTTAGCTGATTAATCCTAACTTTTACTATTATTCCCAACATTTCATATTGGTCACAATAAAGAAATTGATACATTTCTCCCTCACTAGGTATCAGAATCTAATTTTAAAGCACAGGCCTACCTTGCTGTACCAGTTCAGACAGGGCTGCACTATATCAGGATCATCAATGCCACTAAGTTCAACATACCAGATGCTAAAATTAAAGCTGGGCCCCCAGGACAAAAGTGGAACTTTAAGGAGGAAAAGCAAAAAGAGGGAAAAAATTAATATATTTCAAATAAGTTTCAGCAAAGTAAAACTACTAATGTTTAAGTCTATATGGATTTACTCATCAAATTTCTGCACACATGCCACACACCTGCACTTTCAGTCCCCAGGAGGCTATGGCAGGAGGAATAAGAGTTCCAACATAGTGAAACTCTGTTCCAAAACAGCAACAACAAAATCCATGCATCACAGAAACAAATGAGTGTTCAACTTTTAAAAGACGGCTTGTGATATTAAAAAACAAATCTGACTGAAACCATCATGATATTTTTTAGTTAGTAAAAACTGATATAACTTCAAAGTCATCATAAATAAAATCCAAAATAGATAATGTAACAGAGGTTACTGATCCTACACACAGCTGATAATAGTATTTTTAAAACTGTATCCAAGTATAAACTAAAACTTCAATTATTTATCAATATATAATCCCGAAAACAAAGCCAAAGACAAAATACTCAATCTCAACTATGAAAGAAGTCAGTCTCAACTATGAGGACGTACCCAAATAATAAGGGAAAGATGCAATAACAATAAAAAAAAAAAAACTCATAAGTTTTCTTTATTAAAAAAAAAAAAGACTTCTTTCAAGGAGTACAAGATGATTCAATAAAAAGATATAGTGATGTAATTTTCCACCTAAACAAAGCTAAAAGGAAAAAAATGTGCTCAATTACTTTAAAAAAAATCATCTTAAGGCTTAATCATTAAGCCTGAGGAAATATTAAGTACTCTTGTTCCAGTCAGAATGAGACAAAGAAGCCAATTTCTCTACTAATGGATATCACACTAGGCATTGTACTTAGCCAGTACAATGGGGGACGGTTGGGGGATAGAGAAACGGCTCGGCAGGCGGTTCAGAGCACTGGCTGCTCTTCCAGAGGACCCGAGTTTAGTTCCCAGCTCCCACACAGCAGCTCACAAACATCCTTAGTTCCAGTTCCAGGGGATCCAATGCCCTCTTCTGCGCTCCTCATGCACTAGGCACCATAATACATGGTGCACATACATATATGAAGGCAAAACATATGCATAAAGTAAAAAAAAAATCTAATTAAAAAGAACACATTTGGTTACTTGAAGATGACATGGCTGCCTATCTGCAATTTTAAAAGACTTGACTGGCTATCCAATATTTCTTTTCAACCACGAGGTACACAGAAGAAATTGAACTACAACACAAGTGCTTAAACGGCTTTAATAAAGCAGGGCTTTAGCCGGGCGGTGGTGGCGCACGCCTTTAATCCCAGCACTCGGGAGGCAGAGCCAGGCGGATCTCTGTGAGTTCGAGGCCAGCCTGGGCTACCAAGTGAGCTCCAGGAAAGGCGCAAAGCTACGCAGAGAAACCCTGTCTCGAAAAACCAAAAAAAAAAAAAAAAAAAAAAAAAAAAAGCAGGGCTTTGTTGTGACTTGAATAAATACAAAACTTCCTGAAACCACAGTCCTGAGGGTCTCAACTATTCCTTTTGTGTCTACTCTTGAACACTATTATTACAAAAAAAAATTCTCAAAAATCAAAATATGGGATTCTGGAATTAATTATTGTTCTTCAATAATAAATATGACTTCTTTGGTTCCAATTTTAATATAATAGTGCTAAAGGTGCGAGGCAGAGATAGAAATCCAAAGGCTCAGACCTTAACATGCCTGCCCTCTAAATACTAAATCTAAAGGAACACAGAAGATCCTAAGAAGCCTAGCCTGAAGAATGTTTTGTAAGCACTTTCATAAGCTAAAACACTTGCTGATAAATATATGCCTTAAAGACAGTATTGTGAACTGTGGTTTGCATATCATTGCTGAACCATGAGATTGACAAGTTTAACCAGCATTTCACATAAAATGTGAAATATACAAGAACAAAAGCCAATGACCACATTACAGTGTCTTGAAAAACTCATCAGTGTTTGGTTTTAGCTGATAGTTCTAGAATAAATAAATGACAAACCTCCATGAATAATTAAGGCAATCAGATCACTACATCCCATAAAGTCTTGTAAGAACCCTTTCAAAAGAGAAAACACTTGGAAAAAATATCCTTACTAAATAGCTGTCACTTACTAATGGATTCATAAAGCAACAGTCAGCAAACATTTCTGTAAAGGGCCAACAGAAATCTTTTCAGCTTGATGGGCTATGTGATCTCTTTAAACCATCCCTCTGCCTCTGGGGCACAAAAGCAGTCAAAGCCAGTGTACAAACTAACCAGTGCAGCAACGCTCCTGTTAAAACCCTAAACACAGGGCCTAGAGACCTGGTCCATACACCAGAGTCTATGAACGAAAGACAGTAAAAAACTGTTTTTAATTCAAAACCACTAAAGCCTTACCAATTTTAATGAATCGACAAGGGAACATCTGTTCATCAATTTTATGTTTCAAGGTAAATGTTTCTTTGTTATAATCATTCTTCAAGCCACTGTTGGGGGTAGGGGAAGAAAAAAAACCTTCATATTATCAAACATGATTTCATAATTTAGTAAACACACTAAGACACTCTAATCTTATACTCAGATGTTAAGCTTTAAGCCAATGCTAATACTGTATATTCAAGACAATATAAGCAAATAATTGAACATGAAAACGTAAGTCAAAATGTGCACATCCAAATCAACTGCAATACTGCTGTGTTTTTTAAAACTACACAAAATCTAATGAAGAATGTGATATATTAACTAGAGAATATGGCTAGCTGTATGGAAATGTGTGACTATCTTTAATATATAATTTAATATGAAAAATATTCAAGTAGTAGGAAAGGAATTAAAAACAATTCAGTCTTATCTAACAAGTTCAACAAGGCCAAATATTAGAATTTGTCAAAGAATTACATTTTTTAATTATCTTTTTATCATTCATGCTGTGGGATGTCTTTCTGTATGCTGTGAATATGTGTGGCTCCCATTGGATAATAAATAAAGCTGTTTTGGCCTATGGCAAGAAAGCTTACAGCCACGTGGGAAATCCAAGCAGAGATATAGAAGAAGGATGGAGTCAAGAGAGACACCAGGTGCTGCAGAAGGAGCGACAAGATGCCAGCAGACCGGTAATGTCATGGCCATGTGGCAATATATAGATTAATAGGAATGGGTTAATTTAAGATGAGAGAGTTAGTTAGCCAGAAGCTGAAGCCAAAGGCCATACAGTCTGTAATTAATATAAGACTCTGAGTGATTATTTTATATGCGGCTGTGGGGCAGCAGGACATTTACAAATTTTCAAAACCAATGTTGGTTTGCTGATTTAATAGCATCTCCTTTAACTAACTAAATAAACAGTAACCCATATCACCTCTCGTTTAACCAAGATTGATACAAGTGTTCATAGGAAAACTCCTTACCATCCAACTACCTTACTCCCTAAAATACTTCTAGGACTTAAATCAGAGCACGTAACTAGTATTTACTTCAGTGTTTTCTTAACAGGATAACCATGTCACAAATACATTCTAAATCTTTTTTCTTTCCACTGGCTATATGACTTCTCATCATGCTGAGATCTAACTGTCTTAGAACTCCACTTGACTACGCTCTTTCCAAACGGCAAACACTGTGTGCTACATGCTGTCACATTTTGTTTTGTTTTCATTTACTGAACCTTCCCCTTTTCATCTCTAACAGTAAAATCTTAGAATACCATTTTGGATTGGACAATTCACATTTTGAGTTAAGGTTTATGTTTTCCAGTAGCAGGGTTTTTGCCCTCCCACCACAAATGGGTGGTTTGCTCTGGAAGTGTTTGGGACTGAACCCAGATATTTTCATTAGAAAGTTATTGAGAGATCAAAATTATGAGTAGCGAAAAAAGAAACCAACATTTGATTCTTTCTTCATTATTTAACAATTTTAACTAGTACCTGGTAGTTAAAAAAAAATAAAAACCAACTTAAGACACAGTGTTAACAAAGACACTAGAAATAAAACCAGAGAAGTGTTCTTTCTTTACTTTCTTGGAAAGGGCACACAGATTCACCTATGAAGAAAATAGACAAAGCCTACAGGATGCTCCAAAGACAGCCCTTCCATGCCCACAAGCAAACCCACCTAGACAACAGCTCTGTCATATTTTCTTCATTCATTCCACCAAAGACCTTGAATTTCTTCAAATTGCAGACATGGGTTTTCTCATATTTTCCAAATGTAATATTCTGAACTATAGCAGGCCTTTCAAGCTTCAGAATCAAGTACTGAGGGAAAAAGAAAGAAGAAACAACAAAACTATACCCTCTGCTTAAAACATATGACAAACTTTAGATATTGTAAGTTTTGACAGTTAACAGACTCATAAGTTCCATCTTAGGATGGAAGGCTGGAAGATGTTTTTATTTTGTTTTATTTTGTCTTAAAGCTAAGGAATAATTATACAACCCCCCTACAATGACTGTTATCATTTTTTACTCAACTGAGGTCACCAACTACATTCTTCTAAATGGTGAAACAGACTGAAAGAAGCCTAAGTGATGTAAATTCTAATCAGTGAATGATACTAAAGACATAACCGGACTAGAAATAACCAAAGAAGCAAGATTAAAATGCAAAAATAGCAACCTCCCACTTCCATGGAATGAAGTCGACAGATCGAAATCTTATTTTATTTATACGATATATATGTATCTTATTATATACTTAAAATTAATCAAAACTTACCAGAATTCATATCTTAGAATAAAATATTTAGATGTAATTTAGAGTAAAACTTGGATGCACTCCACAAAAGGCACACGAGTAAATCTTTAGGGTATTATCTTTGACTGGGGATTCCCAGGTGTAACATCAAGAGTACGTATCATCAAGTTTCACATCAGATACCCAGTTTTCCCAATATCAGTTGTTAAAGAGGCTGTCTTTTCTACAATGACTATTTTTAGCATTTGTCAAAACCCAGGTGGCTGTAGCTGCAGGGACTTACATCCAGATGTTCTATTCTGTTCCACCGATCTGTATTTCTGACTGTGCCAGTACTGGGCTTAGTTTTGGATCTGTAACACACCTTGAAATCAGGTATGGTGATACCTCTGCTTGCTTGATTACTTTCTTTCCTTCTTGATTGGGGGTGGGGAGGACAGGATTGATTTGGGTATCTGAAGACTTTTGTGTTTCCAAATAAATTTTAAGATTGCTTTTTATATTTCCATGAAGTATGGTGTTGGCCTTTTGACTGGGATTCCATTCAATCTTGTAGGCTACCTTTGTTAAGATAGCCATTTCCACAATTCTTCCAGTCCGTGAGCATAGGGGTCTTTTCACCTCCTAGTGTCTTTTTCAATTTCTCTCTTGAATTCTTAAGGTTTTCCACATCTTTCCCATCCTTGGTTAGATTTAGTTTAAGATCATAGTGTGGACTGTGAACAGGACTGTTTCCTTCATTCTTTTCTCATCGTGTTACTGGTATAAAAGAAGACTACTCATTGTGTAGCCTGCCACTTTGCTCAAAGTGTTTGTCAGCACTCAAGAGTTTTCTGGTCCAGTCTGTAGGATCTTATGTATAGAATCTGATCATCTTCAAAACTTTCCTATTCGTATGCCTTTTGTTTCTCCTGTCTTACCCTCTAGCTAAGAATTCCAGTACTATATTGACTAAGCAGTGAAAATGGACGCCTTTATCTTGTTCCTTAATTTTAGTGGAAATGTTTTGAGTTCTGGCCCATTTAGTATAAAGTTGGCTATAGGTCTGTTGTACACAGCCTTCAAACACTGAGATGTGTTCCTTCTATTCTCAGTTCCTCTGGGGTTTTTAATAAAACATTTATGCGTGTTTTGCCTGCATGCATATGTGTGCACTAAAGTGTGCCTGGTGCCAATGAAAGCCAGAAGAGGGTGATGGACCCCCTAGAACTGGAATTACAGAAGGCTGTGAATTGCGACATGGGTGCTGGGAATTGAGCCCAGATCCTCTGTAAGTGCAGCTAATGCTCTTAACTGTTGAGCTATCTATCTATCCAGCTCTCACTTCAGGATTTTGATCATGAAAAGATGAGATGATCATGTGATTTTTGTCACTGAGTCCATTCATATAACGTATTACATACATTGATTTCTATATGCTGAACCCTCCCAGCATCGCTGGACTAAAGTCAACCTGATCATCATGATGATCTTTGTTATGTGCACCTATATTCAGTTTGTGAGTACTTTGCTGAAAAATTTTGCAGTTATATGCATTAGGGAGACTGATCTAATTGTGTGTGTTTATATGATTTTGATATCAGAGTAATAATGCCTTTAATAAAGAGTTTGGTAGTGTTTCTTCATTTCCTACTTCATGAAAGAGTTTCATAAGAATTACTTTCAGTTCTTTGGTGGTCTGGTAAAAAGTCACCAGTGAATCCAACTGGGACTGTACTTTTTACTCAGATTTTATTATTATTATTATTATTACTACTTTAATCTCACTGCTTGTTACAAAAGTGTTTAAATTATTTCATCATAGTTCAATTTTGGTAGGTTATATGAATCTAGAAATGCATCATTCTTTTTAGATTTTCCAATTTAGTAGAAAACACACACACACACACACACACACACACGTTGGTTCTGAAATGGGATCTCACTATGTAGACCAGGCTGGTCTTGGACTTAGAGATCTGCCTGCCTCTGCCTCCCACTGAGTACTGGGTTAAAGGCATATGTTATAACACCCAGTGAGCATATATTTTTAAAGTATTCCTTTCCATTCTCCAATTTTATTAATTTGGGATATCTTTTCTGGTCATTTTGTCCGAGTTTAGATCTTGTTTATCCTTTCAAAAACCAACTCTCTGTTTCTGTAAATTTTTTTTGTTTTTTGTTTCTTATTAGTTTCTTCCCTGAACTTTGTTTGTTTGTTTTTTTATTTGTTTGGAGACAGGGTTTCTCTGTGTAGCTTTGGAGCCTGTCTTAGAACTCACTTGGTAGCCCAGGCTGGCCTTGAACTCACAGAGATCCACCTGCCTCTGCCTCCCGAGCGCTGGGATTAAAGGCGTGTGCCATCTATGCCTGGTATTTGCCTTTTTTTAGAAGCTTAAAAAAAAAAAAAGAAAAGAAAGAAAAAAAAGGTGTCAGGTGACCTCCTCTATCGTTTTCCACCTTATTGTTCTGAGGCAAGGTCACAATTGATGTGCACACAGGACCATCAGTGAGTGCCGAAATCTGAACTCAGGGCTTCAAGCTTGCACAACAAGTACTCTTACCTCCTGAGCCATGTGTCCATGTTCTTTCGTTGTTGTTTTTCCGAGACAGGGTTTCTCTGTGTAGCTTTGCGCCTTTCCTGGAACTCACTTGGTAGCCCAGGCTGGCCTCAAACTCACAGAGATCCGCCTGGCTCTGCCTCCCGAGTGCTGGGATTAAAGGCGTGCGCCACCACCGCCTGGCTGTGTCCATGTTCTTAAGCATTTCTTTTTATCTACTGATTTTGGGGTGTACTGGCTGGTTTTGCATGTCAACTTGACACAAGCTAGATAGATTTGTTAGAGAGGAAAGAGCTTAGTTGAGGAAATGCCTTGATGAGATCCAGCTAAGACATTTTCTCAATTAGTGATCAATGGGGGAGGGCCCAGCCTATGGTAGGTGGCGTCATCCCTGGGCTGGTGGTCCTGGGTTCTATAGAAAGTGGCCTGAGCAAGCCAGGGGGAGCAAACCAGTAAGCAGCACCCCTCCATGGCCTCTGCTTCTGCCTCCAGGTTCCTGCCCTGCTTGAGTTCTTGTCCTGACTTCCTCCAATGATAAGACTATTACCTAGAAGTGTAAGCCAAATAAACCCTTTCCTCCCCAACTTGCTTTTTGGTCATGGTGTTTTGTAGCAGCAATAGAAACCCTGACTAAGACAGGGGAGTTAGTTTGTTTTTATTTTTCTACAACTCCAAGATGTAGCATTAAATTAGGAGGTCTTTCTGATTTCTTAATGTAGGCATTAAGAGTTCCAATCTTCTTTCTTAGGACGATTTTCATTCTATCCCATTGACTTTGGTACATTGTGTTTCATTTTCTTTTGATTTTGAAACTGTTTTTATTTCTTTTTGGTAATGTGTTGTTAGACCTCCATATGTTTGTATATGTTCTATAGTCGTTCTAACTGTTGTTTTGTTGTTTTATTCACTGTCATCAGATAGAATACAAGGACATATTTCTATTTTCCCATAATTGTTCAGATTTCTTCTATGTCCTAATAGAAACTTTTAGACAAAGTTCCATGGGCTGCTGAGAAGAATATATATTCTGCAGTTTTAGGAGAGAATGTTCTGTAGATATCTGTTAAGTCCTTTTGATCTATGATATCATAATACAGATGCTTTACTTTACTTTTTGACATGAACTCAAAATTGATAGAGTGGCTGGGCAGTGGTGGCGTACACCTTTAATCCCAGCAGTCAGGAGGCAGAGGGAGGCAGGCAGATCTCTGTGAGTTCAAGGCCAGCCTGGTCTTCAAAGCCAGAGCTCACAGAGAAACTCTGTCTCGAAAAACCATAAAAAAAAGTTGATAGTGGAGGGTAATGAATCACCCACTACTACTGTGTTGGGGTCAAGCTGTGTCTTCGTACCTAACAAAGTGTGATTTATGAAACTGGGTGCACCCATGTTCAGTGCATATGTCTAAATGTTTAAAACTGTAATGTTTCTTGTTGGATAGATCTCCAACAATAGAAAAGTTTGCAGGTTTTCTCATTTTTTATTAGTTCTTTGAGAATTTTGTACAATGTATTTTTTATCCTAGACCCATCCTTAGCTACCCAAATCGTATCTTCTTTTTAAAAACTTATGCAATAGAAAATGCTGCATATATACTCTAGGATGTGTGGCCTTTACTAGAGGATGGTCCACCTACCATGGGCCACAACCTTAGAGAAAAATGACTGCTCCTCTCCCAGCAGCTATCAACTGCCAATAGCTCCTTAGTTACAAGTGGGACTCCATGCCCACCTCCATCTCCATGTGGTAACTGGTCTGGCCAGAGCCTAACAGGTCTTTTGAAATCTGTTATAACGGCTGTGAGCTCCTATGTGCAACTTCCCTGTTGTGCCCAGAAACTGTTTTCTTTTAGTTACCCACCGCCTCTGGCTCTTAAAATCTTTCTGTCCCCTCTTCCCAAATGATTCCTGAGCCTTGAGAGAAGGGGTGTTCCACAGATGTTCCATTCAGGGCTGAACATTTTTCAATCTCTTACTCTCTGCACCTTGACCACCTTGGGTCTCTGGGTTTATCACCACTGAGT